AACAACTACATATAGCTAACTTTAAAAAAATTAACTGTTATACAAATTCAACGTGTTTGTCTCAGATAAATTATAAGATAAAAACACAAACCAGCTATCTTTTGCATCAGTTATAAACAACCTGGCTCAACCATTTATCATTCGTTATTAGTGCTATTAAAAACCGATTTGTTCCGAGCTAATTATTTAAAACAAAGCATCATCACCACAGTCAGAGACATGTTCCAAGCTACTAAATTTGGTGTAATAGAAGTAGGTCAGCCATTCATGTACCATGCGAGTGTGAAATAATGGTATATAATTGGAGTTAATCAAATGATATGTGAAACTATTTGAAGGTATGTACAGTACATATTATTTGATTATTCATGACCCGTGACCTAGATTTAATTAAAAAACTATAAATTTGTAATTTATCTGTGACTGTTTCATTTAACTATTTTACAAATATTTTTTAAATGAGGAGTATGTATTTTATTTTATAAAGTATTTTTTTATTTAAGACAGGACTAGATGATAAAGGTGTGTTTATTAACAGATATAACAAATAGTGCTTAAACAAGAAACTTTATTGTTTGTTACAAGTGAATTTAAATCGTAAAGTTTTATTTTGATTATAAAAATATGTATCGTTTTATTTCAGATTCAAACATCAAGTACCTGAACAACTTTTTAAATTGAGCCAAATTATGATCTTCAAAAAATATTTGAACATTATAATATGTTTTTGGTACATGGTTTTGTAATGTGCAAATAAGTTGTAAACTAAGATTAAGAAATATTTAAATAATCTAGCTATTCTTCATGTTCTTAGGATCAATGTTGAATATTCATAAAATAAAGACATTTTACTATTACTGCACCAAAATATCACAATGTTTTTTAATGAAACCCTACTCAATCCTAAGTACATTTTTCAAAAAACTAATCTTGACTCTCAATTATCAGGCAGTTTTGGAAGACATAATTGATTTTTTTGAAAATAAACACAATTCAAATCTAATTTCACATTCCTAGGTACACAATCATAATCTGTATATATTACTAGAAATCACCTGTCTTTTTTCTAACTATTGTTTAAACTGTTAGTTTGAATGTACAAGATTTTATCAGTCTAATTGTAAGGTACCTACTCCAGTTAATTAGCAGTCTATATTGAATTGTTAAAAATAATTTATTGGATATTTTTACTTTTGCTAATAAACATTAAATTTTTGATTCATAGTCACTTTAAGAAGGAATTACATCTATGAATTATGGACTAATGGCACGCTGATTATAGACCTTTAATTTTTTTAAATAATATATTTTATTTCTTGACTCATTTGTAAAAGTACATAGGGGAGTGGGGATACATTTGACATATTTTAGTAGGTAGGTATAAATATGATGTGTATTTTAAATAAAAACAAAATATTACTGAAATTAACATCAAACTCAAAATATTTAATTTTCAAAATAAAATAGCTATGTAATAATAATTTTTATTTATCAATTATATATAAACATTTAAATAATATAACTATAGGGACTGCATCATCTCACTATGTTCTGTATATGTACATCTCGAAGATTAAAAACCTTTTTAGGAAACATAAAAAACCATTCTTTGACAACATTAATGGTTAGATTATATTTAATTCATACAAAAATAAGAATTTGAAAATAAATAAATAAGAGATTACAAAATAACACAAACAAACAAGAGTACTTAGCTGAAAGTTTTAACATAACTAATTACTGGTAAAATAATTTGGCATTTTAAAGGGAGTTTACATCATGAGGTAATTGATTAATTTGAACTATGCCTTCCCACTTGTTATAACAAAAAAATTAATAGAATTCGCAGCTCTTGTATGCTACTGATGTATGTAAGAAATAGGATTATTTACTATTTTAAAAATAAAGGCCATTGCCTGCACATAGAAACTATCCCATATTCAACCAGTTTAACGTAGTCAACATAAGCTGAATGCTATATCTGCTACATCCTAAAATAGCTCTCATTGACTTATTCTGAGAAAGCTGTAACCTCTCAAAAGTAGAGTTAGAATTATTTGTATCCTAAAGATATCACTTGAGCACAGTTTAAACCATAGTGAATTGTAGATATTCAACCAAAAGTTCTCGAGTCAGTTTATAAAAACCTACTATTACCATATTTTGATTTTTTTACGTTTCCTTTCCTGAATTTTCACCATTTCTTTGCTTGAACTTTTAGAGGGTATACATCATTGTTTTCTTTTTATATTTTAAATTGTTGCAGCTTGCCTGCAAGAGTATATTCCTCTGGTAATATCTTTTAGTTAAAGCTTCTTTAATCTCACATTTCTTTGTTTTTATTTTATAGTTTCGTATTATATTTACAGTTGAAAAAATGCAAAATATAATATTAGATTGTTTAGCCTCAAAGATTTTTATTACATTACAAAAATAAAATAAGTGTTTGTTCATGGGCCTGGCGAAAAATATCATAATATTAAGGTAAAATCATATACAGCTTTAAAAATAATTTAAAACCACTCACCTCTATTTCAAGATGCACTCGTAATTATAACTTAACTTCAAAGAAGTTTCTTGTATGTTTATTTAAAACAAATAAACGTTTCTTCTACATTTGTTGCCTTCGTTTAAAATTTTAAAATATCATGATTTAGGCTATCAGTTTAACATTTTGCCTACCCTAGTAGTAATTGCATCAAAATGACCGCGCCCTATATTGGGCGTGTCGGACGTCTCTCTTGCACCGTATAGTAATCAAAGTATGTGGACAGATCAAATAAAATGTCACTTTCTCTGACATAAAGCATAAACGACAAATGACATTTGAGTAAGAGGTGATTGTGTCCGAAATAACGAAATAACGGTTCCAACCAAAAATAAATTAAAAATTAAAGGGGACTCCACTACTAGAAACGGCATTCTGGCTTTTTGCCAGATCTCAATAAAGTATTTAAAAAGAATCCACATATTATTAAATCTTGTACGATGGTGCGGAACCGTTCATTCGCGAATCCGCCTCGGACTTGGCCGATTTTTCTATTAAGCACAACACAACAATAATTACAAGTAGAAATTAAAATTAAAACCACTGTTCACGAGAAAAATAAATCAAAATTATTACTTTAATTTACCAATAAATATACAGATCATGTAATTTTACTCCAAAATATCAAACAAATCAAAATCGACATTTCCATAAAGATAGTTTAACGTTGTGCCGACTCTGGCACATTTGCCATTACCTATAGCTTTCCTCGATGAGATTAGCCTGGATTTTCATCGACGTAGTGATATACCATGAACTCTATTATGCAATGTAAATTTCATGCGATTACAAAAACCGTATCGAAGCCGGATTCCTGCGGGAAATGATACGAAATAATGTTGAGAAAATGAAATTTCTTTATTTGGTCTCAATTCACCACGGATCGAACGGAACGGGAATAAAATTATGGATAAAGGTGTTTTTCGTGTCTATTAACATTTATTGCATTGCATTTTACTAAGCCTGAATGAATGTTTATTATAAAAATTACATAAAATTACAATAACATATAATAGTATATTATGTAACGATCATGTAATGATGCTTATTATTACTCGAGCAATAATTGGGATACGAAACGAGCCAAAGGCGAGTTACGTATGGTTTATGCGAGTGTATTAATAACCATTACATGAGAGTTGCATACGCTATTTTTTCTACATCCGATAAGTAATCAAGAACTATAAATATTATATTTATATTTGTATTGAACACAATAACCGTAATTACTCGTATTTCTATAAAAAATTCTACAAAATTTTAATTGATGGTATTACCTCGGGTGTTGTTATTACCATATATTTTTGGGGCAAAATATTTTGTACTACATTTTTTACTTTCTCCGATATGTGTGGAGGAGTCGATGGTAAGTCTTCTATATCGCTGATATCAGACATTTTGATAATATAATTGAAGGGTGCCACATGCAAAACGTGGTAAGTGCATTTCGGTAAATTTTACAGGAGGAACAATTAATTATATAAATCTGTTGTATAAAATAATTTGAAAGTTAGTATTTTTAAAATCATACAATAATATGTTGTGCTTAAGGATGATAATAAAATTTTAGGCATACATGTCTTTAAAAGGTACAGTTTGATAGGGTGAAGTTCAAAACGTAGTAAGTGCCATGAAAGTTGCACATCATACCCTCTACTCTGTACAGGCGTAATGTACTTAAACGTTATTAAAGATGAAAAGAATGTACATCTGTAATATTAACACTCGTTTATTACAAAAAGAAAAACAACGCTAAGAATAGTTCAGAAGTAAACATTCATTTCAGTAAATTAATTTGATTGGAGAGCTTCTTGTTCTTGCACGCCTCCTTTATAAAATTCCTGGTATTCAATGGAAATAAATGGAATCATATTTCTAATGTCTTGTAGCTTTCCTTTCTTCCAGGGACGAACATTTTGTCCAACAGGTTCTACATTTAAGTGAGAAAAATATTCTGCATTAACTGCTTCCTTAAACACACGTACCTTTCGCCATGGTGCTACCTCTGAGTAGGAAGTTTTGACTTCAACTTCTAAATGATTTTGTTTTGAAATTCTCAACATTACCGCCTGAGAAATACCCAAATGGGTAGTTGTGAGTGTAGTTTTAGCAAGCCCCATCCAGTCAAAAAACTTATCAGTTTGTTTAATAATAAATGGGTTTCGTAGCCGTGCACTTGCTATAATACGAATGAGGTCCATGGGAACTTCCGGTTTTAGACCTTTCTTGGCTTTTTCAATGCATCCAAAGTCACGGTCGCATGAAAGAAAAGTGTGACCCGGTTGTGGAAATTTGTGAATAATCTCATCAAAATATCCTTTAGCTACAAGGGTGATGTACATGGCTAAAATGCCTTGATTTTTATTTTGGCCACCACAGTTGTCCGACCACAAAATCAATTTTGGCTTAGTTGTTTTTAACTGTGTTGTAATAAAATTATACACGCAACTACCAATTTCATTACAACCTGGCTTGCCAGACCTTTCGTCCCACATATACATAAACCCCTTCGCTTCATCTTCGAAATGTATGCCCAGATTAATACAAGTAAACTGCCTACTATAATACATTTGAGTATGAGTCAGTGCAGGAAGATACATCTGCTTCTGTAAGTCATAAGAAAGTACGCATGTATCAGAATCTTGCTTCTTGCAATCCGCTACATCTCCCGCTAGAAGTTTTTGAGCAGCTTCAGCTTTACGTTGATGTACGTCACGCTTTAGTTGTCGTTCTCTCTTTTCGTCAGGACTTTTTGCAGCAAGTATAGAAATTTTATACTCGTCACAAGTAGGGCAAGTGTCTACTCTTGGTTCTCCAAATGCTAAGTTAAATTCTTTTTTGAAAATTTGGTTAAACCATTGACGAGAAACTGGAGGATTTCTTGCATCAAGCTGGTATTTTACAAGAAAAGCAGTATGTAATTTACGTATATTTAAATCCTCTGCTAGATACCTGCGGTTCAAATTTTGTCCTCGGCCATAATGACTTTCTCTGCAAGGTATCGATTGAATAAAGTCCATAATTTTTTGTTTCCACACTGGATTTCTTGCAGGACGTTTACCACCTCGTTGGTCGTGGACCGAAATACCACCAGATAAAATTTTCTTGCTGAGCAATTCCACTCTTCGTTGTGTAACACCGAAAGTTGAACATAGTGTTTGTTTACAAACCTGTACCTCAGAATCCCCTGGCAGTGGTAAATAATATTTAAAAGAATGCTGTCGCCTGCTCCGAGCGGGATTTTCATGCCGTCTACGTTTTATTAGGCTTGGACGAATAAGAGAACGCAAAAAATTTTGTTGTTCGTTATAGCCTTGCAACTTATAAAATTGTTGAAACATATTTTTTCTGGAGGCGACAGTTAATACTTTACAAGCATACTGGCATTTGCAATTTACCTAAAATAAATAATAACACATTATAGTATTAGGTCAAATAGCTTAGTACGTTTCGCCTACCTCTTCGGTAAAAAACTTTCCAGGTTTTGGAATATTTTTCTTTATGGTTTTATAGGGACCTCCACTATTTTTATTTCTGCTCGTTTCTTCTCTAACGTTTCCAGGTCTCTTTCTTTTTTTGGCTCGAATACATTCTGGAATTTCCATTTTATACAAGAACGTAAAATATATTAAAGTAATACTCAGTACTAAAAAAGTTAGGTTACAAAATGTGCAACTGTCAGATGGTACATACAACGTTTTGATAAATAATCCCGTTTGTCTCCCAAAAGTAGACAACATCATATACATTAAATACATTGTGCTGGTGTATTAAGGCACATACCACCCATTTCCGATATAAACACTATTTGCGTAAAAGTGGCGCTTATTACGTTTTGCATATGGCACCCTTCAATTATCGAAGTTTAGCTATCTACGAAAATTTAATACGTACTGATTTTAACAACTAAAACAATTACATAGGAACCTAGGATAAACATTAAATGCACACAGCATGCTTGTTTGAAAAATTATGGGTTTCTATTGATTACAAATCTGTATCGTTATAAAAAATCTGTATCATAATGGGTATCATTATGAAACGGATTATAAGTGCATTATTATAATACGGGTGTAGAAAAATTATTTTATTAGAAGACTCAAATTCATATGTTTCTAAACGGTGAACTAAATCAACTCCTTCTCAAACCAGCCTCTTTGGAAAACATTCTTGTCCATTTTTTATTATGAAAATTTTATAAAAATGAAATGATGAAAATTGGATGAAAAATGGATGAAAAATTGATGAAAAATGGATGAAAAATGGATGAAAAATGGATGAAAAATGGATGAAAAATGGATGAAAAATGGATGAAAAATGGATGAAAAATGGATGAAAAATGGATGAAAAATGGATGAAAAATGGATGAAAAATGGATGAAAAATAGATGAAAAATGGATGAAAAATGAATGAAAAATAAATGAAAAATGGATGAAAAATTGATGAAAATGAATGAAAAATTGATGAAAATGGATGAAAAATGGATGAAAAATGGATGAAAATGGATGAAAAATGGATGAAAAATGGATGAAAAATGGATGAAAAATGGATGAAAAATGGATGAAAAATGGATGAAAAATGGATGAAAAATGGATTAAAAATGGATGAAAAATGGATGAAAAATAAATGAAAATTGGATGAAAAATTGATAAAAGTTGATTAAAATTTCATAAAGATTTCATGAAAAATTAATAAAAAAATTATGAAAAAATGAATGAAAATTTTGAAAATGAGAAATGTATGAAAAATATCCAACAGAGACCATGTTCTCGTATGAGTTCATCAAACTGATACTTTATATACCTATTCTTAGATAATTTAGTTATGTCGTATAAATCAGGTCTTATGCTGCTAGAATTGAAAACAATATTTTTATTAGCCATTCAATCGTTTTATCTTTCCGTAAATTATTATTAGGTGCTAGATTGCACTGAATGATAAGATTGTCACAAACAATTATGGAGTTAGCAGGTAGATTTGGTATCAGTTTTTCTCGTAATTATTTGCCGTAATTCACTGAATTCATTTCAGAATGATAATCTACTGTTTTGGTATCTGACTTATCAAACAAGCATTAGAAATAAATCCCATTTGACCTCCAGCATAAAATATTACACCTTGAAATTTTAAGTAGGTCATCCTGTATTTCATCTAATATTCTTATAAAAATACCTTATAAAAATACCTTATAAAAATAAAATTTAGCTAGCAACTATGATTCTTTACCTCTTATTTATCTACCAAAAAGGGCTAAAAACTACCTTTAGAAAACATTCTTATAAAACTACTTTTTAAATACAAAATTTCGTTAGCAATAATGCCTATTTACTATTTATTTAAATTAAATGTTCAAAATTTTACCCTTTTGTAAATTTATGTAAGTAATATGATATCTGATTTCTGATGCTTAATATTTATTGAAACCCCTTAATGCGGATCTGAAGTATTCAGCCCAGAGAATCATGGCGCTTTATGTCAAAACGTTAATAAATATTTACCGCTGAAAACGAATATATTCATAACATTAGTACTTGTATTATAAGTACATACAATTTTTTAAGATACATCGTGACATTTTGAACTTGAAATTGAATAACTAGAACACTTTAAATTTTTAAAATACCAACAAATAAATCAAAAAACAGCTGTCAATGGTGATTAAACTCAGGTGGAGGTGATCGCTGAATGGAAATCGGAGCAATTCGGGTGGCGTCGTGCAACAATGATTTTCAATTGGTGGGTTACTTTGGCTTAAAATAGACAACATGCGCAGTGTGCAATGTTACATCTTCGGTCTCTTTAATCTAAGCTGTTGTGCAACTTTTCGCCTAAATCAATATTCAAACTATGTAAATTACGTCTAATAAATACTTATTGTAGTTAAAACATTTGTACCTAATATGTATTTTATTAATACTTATGTTTTGATATTAAATCAGCCCAGAACTCACCACGAGGAGGTGGTCACACCTCGAGTACCACCCACCTTTACTTTCTCAATTCGTTTTATTTTACTTTTGCTTTATATTTTCAAAACTAGGTAATTCTTGTCTTGCTTTTAGTTCTGCCTTTATGTATCCATCACGTACTAAGGTCCACATACTGTTGAAGAAGCATCTGTAATTATTTTCACAGTTCTCTACACCACCTGAGTATGACAAGGAAAACTTTTAAAGGTTATTGTTTCTTGATCATGTGTTATGCGAAGACGCTCTTCATCCGAAATATGCATTGTCAGTGGAGGTTCAATGACAGCCTCAAACCAGGCAATCAGTTCAATGTAATTCTGAGCTACAAAATTGAGTTTTGCATATATTTTCATGATATACTCAACTAGTACAAGTAGTGTTATAGGTAAAGAAATACTTTATGGGCAAACGAAACATATACTATAGTCTTAACGATCGATTAAAACCGTTACAATATTTTAAATAAGTACTTAATGGAATTAAGAATACGTCTCTTAACCAATCTTATTTCTTTATTTAGTACAGATAACAAGAATATTTTAGATTGTTTAATTAACTCCCTTATATCTGAAAAAATCACTATTTAAAAACGGATTATTAATATTGCTCTTCAAAAAAAATCAAAAATATAACTGTGGCCACTAGACTAGTCTGAGGTCAACCCCACCCCCCAAACACAACAGAAAAATAACATTATTATTTATAACCTTGTAACACTGTCTCGCCTTTATATTGTCTACTCTATTTACAAGTGTGTCATGTTCTTTGAATTGCCTTAGTCTGTATAGATCCAACCCTATATGTGTTCGTCTTTACTAACATGTAAACAGTTCTGGAAACAATAGAGGATCAACTGAATGGAATATTAAACAGTAGATACTCACTGTATTATTGTGATGATATTGAAATCCAAATTGTTGCTGAAGTCGTAGTATTTAATTGATGAATGGAGAGATCGGTTAGCTCCCTAGAATGTAACAGCGAAACAATCTATATTTACAAATGGCGTAACATTTATCGAATGAAAATTTTTACAATATTACTCATCTAAATTCATCAAAAATATATACCTTCTTCGTATTTCTGAAATACGCTTCCCAACAAATGTATTGCATTAATGTTTTCGTTCAAACTTAACCTCTTTTAAAACCATGATTCTAATCTTTAAAATTCTCTTGATGAAGGAAGTCCTGATGGTGGTATAATTGCCAAAAGTAATCGAATAATTTTTTTATTTCATTCTGGGAATATATTGAGATTTTATCTACCTCAATCTTTTTAAAATACACTTTTCATTTCACTACATTCCATATCAACTAGTTTGTATAAACCTTCTAGAATAATTTAATAACCCATTAATTAGGTGTAGTTTATTATTGGAAGAGAAGAATTTATCCGCTTCAATTCGTATTCGTATTCAAAAATCTTTATTTACATATATACATTTAATTTATTCATATAATTTGAACACATTATAACACAGTTGGATTTCTTCTCGCGAAAACTAGAAGTGTTCCGCTCCTGTTGTGACCTCTGGCGAAGTCATGACCGATGAATGGGCCAATGTAGCCAAATTACATGTTACTATTAGGATTTTATATAGCATCTCCTTGTTAAAAATAAACATTATATGCCAATTTAGGTTCATTAGCTAGAGCGATAATTGAATTTTGTTAGGTTTTTGTCTGATTTTACTTCTGTCTGTATTCCCTGAAAAACTTTTATAAAAAACAGGGTTGTCCTTGTCTGTGTGTTGGTCTTGTGGTAGATTGTGGTGATTAACCAAATCACAGGGCTGCACTGTGCATCCCCAATCGCCACAGAATTCAGGACTTTAGGATCCTACTACTTTCAAAATCTTTATTCATTTTTATGTACAATATTTACATTACAAACAATATATAAATACATTAATTTATCGATAGGGGTACTTCCGTCTGTGCGTTGGAAGTGTTCCTGCCTATCTTCCTCCTAGAGGCACCGATGTTCTGGTCTGCATTTATTTATCGTTTTTCTTAATTGGAATATTTCTAAGCATCTCCTTATTGATTACAATATCATATGCCTTTTATGTGGGCTAGCAAGAGCGATAATGGAAAATTGTTGAGTTTTTGTCTGATTTTAATTGTGATTGTCTTCCCTGAAAAACCGTATAAAAAAAACAGGGTTGTCCTTGTATGTGTGTTCGTCTCAAGTTAGTCTATGTACGTGAGAAAGCCAAATCTTTAGACTACACCGTGAAATCCCCATTCAGCATCGAAATTGGAGCGCTAGCCGCAATTTCTGCATTGAATAGTGACGTCACCGAGCAGTCTTCCGTCCGACTAGAGTTGATAGCTAGTCGAATTCGAGATTTGTCTATTCAGTGTAATTCTCGCTGCTGTGAGTCAGTTAGTAGCAGCGCCCAGTCCACGTCCTGTCGTTAGCTGAGGGCTCTTTTTGTCTCGTATGTAAGTTGTGGGTGCTTTATGCAGACATCCATGCTTCCTGTTTGCACCATCTCCTGTGCAGATAGTTTTTGCTAGTTTATAGTGTGTGTGTGCTTTGACAGTTTGCATGGATGTTTGCATATGCATGAGTTTTTGTATGTGGTGTGAATGAAGTTCAGTTCCTAAGTGTGTATTGATTGTCAACGTCGCTCATAAATGCATTGTAGGTCTCGATAATTTGTTGTCCGTTATTACATTGTTTTAGTGCAGCGTTAAGCGCTCTTATCGCTCTTGTTAGCTCACCTATGTTTATTATCCTGTTTAGCTCTGCTAATTCCTTGTTAAGGGCTGTGAACTCATTCATAGGGGTGTTAGGGTGTGATATTCTTGTCGTATTTATTGTTGATTCAGCTTTGGTGGCCTCTACTGAATTTGTTCTGACATTTTTCTGTCCCAATGCTGGGAATTCTTCATTTCTTCTTGCAGCATTATTGCTACTGTTTTTTCTAGCCTCCCAGTGATTTACCTCAGGTATAGGTGCAGGTACTAATTTACGCTGTGGCATTGGTCGCCTTTCTTCCATCCTAGAGAGTCTTTCTAGGTATGTTTTACATTTTGAATAGTTCGCGGGGTGATCACCCCCGCAGTTGACACACGTTGCAGGTGTGTCCCTGGTTTTGACACACGTGCGTGTGTGGTGATCCCCCGCACACTTTACGCATCTGGCTGGTTTGCCACAGTTTGCTGTCGCATGTCCCCACTCCTGGCATGTGTGACATTGTATGATCTGTTTGACCGATTTTCTGATCTCCCAGGTCACTCTGGTGTGTAAGATTCTTCTGACGTTCTTGTTCAAGTATTCCAGAGTGATGACTGGGTCTGTGACCACCAGGAAGAGGGGACGTTCTTTGGTTTTCATTACGAAAATTTCTCGTACAGTTATTTCTTGTTCTTCTTCTAGATCTTCCTTTATATCTTCCATTTTGGTGTTTTCGGCCAAGCCTCTAAGTACAAATGCATGTGACTTGTCGCTACTGGGGGTATATGTGTGGTAGGCCATTTTCTCGCTTTTAACGTTATTGAGTACCTTCTCATAATCCTCCTTGCCTTCTACAAAGAGAATTGTTGTTCTATTTGTGTGCTTGACACTGAATTCTCCTTGTACTATGGCCTTTAGGTCGGCAATTAGTTGGTTTGGGTTGGCTGTCTTGCCGTCAATTACTATTGGCGGCATCGAGGTTTTTTGTTTGTCTACCCTGCTTGTGTTTTTATTGTTATTAATGGTTGCAGCCTTGTTTATGTTCGCTGCGCTGGTGGTTGGCTTTTGTGGAGATAGCTTGGGTGTCTCTTTGGTGATGAAGGGCACAAACTTTGCGCCTTTTTTCCTCTTCTTAACTATTTTTCCTATCTCGTCGTCGTTATCTGAGTCCGACTCGTCAGTTAAGACATGATAGGAGTTTTGGGTAGTTGTTAATGTTTGTACCGCTTTTTCCCTGATCATTCTATGAAAATTTGTACTGAATTTTCGCGGTAAGATGTATTGCTCATCTTTTTTCTTCTGTTCATCTTCTGCTTTTTTGCTGTCTCTTTCTCTCTCGTAAGTAGCTCTTTCTTCTTCTGTACGAAATTCAAAAAGGCTATTGGGTGAATGTGGTAGTCTGTCAGCCTTATCAAATTTTTCTCTTTCACTTAAATTTTCTTCTTCTGAGGTGAGACTGTTGTATTGTAGTATGTTGGTTGTGACACTACTAGGTACCTCTTTTTTCTTGAGCCTGGGATCAGAAATTGCCCTATTTTTAGGGATGGCTCCTAGGGATTTGGGGGTATTGTTGTCCGTTTCCATTCTGACGGAGTTAGTTGGGTGTTGTTGTACTGTCTGTGTAGGGCAGTACCCAGCCGAGGAACTACTCGATCCATCCCTCTTTTGGGTACCTCCTACACATCCAGCAACTGTTGTATTATTACCTCCGAAATCTAGGGGTTTTGCTGCTACGTTAGCAGGCATTGCAAGCGTTTTGAACGGTCCTTTCGGCATTATCTCTCTTTGATATTCAGAGTAGTAGTTTGCTGTACTCTGGTCTAATTCTCCGGATTCTTTCACTGATGAGGGGACTACTGTGGTGTTCATATCAACATCGTCTTCTGATGACGAGCTATCTGATTTTTCAAGGACATTTATTAGGGTTTCTACGGTTTTATACTCGTTTTGGCTTGTTTCCTGTGAGTCTGGAGTGCTAGGATTGGAATTGCTACTTCCATGAGTGGAGTGATACTCCATGTCCTCCGATCCATCAGCTGATGGCTTTCTGGAAGTGTTTACACTGTTATCTGTAGTTTTTTGGTTTACTTCAAGTATTTGACGGTCATTTGAAGGTGAAACCGTTAAAATTTTGGCCAGGGGGTCCCCTTGGGTCGTGCAGCTGACCCCAGGGTTATTAGTTAGTGTCTCACTCTTTGTACTCACGCTTGTTCTTCTTTTAGACTTAGGACTGGGTTTAGGGCTTGATGGTTGATTGTCCAGGTGGAGTTTGTTCCTATATTTGTCGAGGTATCTGTACCGGCTTTTGAGCCTCTTTGAGTACTCCGTTTCGAAGCCCTTGGGCGTTGTGGGGGCCCGGCTGGGCTCGGACATGTGCCGAAAACCCTCTAGGTTACGTACTTACACTGGCGTTGGGTGGAAAAATGATAGGGGGAAAATTAAAAATATTGGCTTTTAATGACAAGTGACAACTGACGTTAGCTATTTCGAGGAATTAACGCTCTCACGGCAAACGACTCCTAGGACAGTCCTAGGTAAACTGACTTTAGGATCCAAAATTCTGCATCGATTGATGACGTCACCGTGCAGTCCTCCGTCCGTCTACTTTTGTCAAGAAGCCGGCTTTGTGATTTGGCTATTCAGTGGGATTTCTGTTGCTGTGTGGTCCGTACGTATGTTGTCCTGACTCGTCAATCTCGTGTGTATATTTGTAAAGCTTTATGCAGACAGCCGTGTACCCTGACTGCACCATCCCCTTGGTGAATTGACTGTATGTCTTCCTTAAGAGTTGTGGGAAGACAGTTATTATAAAACTTGTTTGATAATTTAAGAATAAAGGATTTAATAGGCTCAATGGATGTCTGCATATGCATGTCATTTATCCTGGCGTATCGGTCATACCCCAACGCCAGCCTCAGACACCTGTTTTGCATTACTTGTAATTTGCGATAGTGAGTTTCAGCCATCGAACAGAAGACTGGACTTCCATATGTCAGAATCGGCCGAAGTACCTGTTTGTATAGGAGGATTTTGTTTGCCGTAGAAAAACCACTTCTCCTGTGTAATAGAGGATAGAGGGTTTTTATTGCCCCTGTGGTTTTTCCGACTCTGTCGTCGATATGATTACAGAACGTTAGTTTCCTATCTAATATGAAACCTAGGTACTTCATTTTGTCCTCTGTTTTAATGTTTTTACCCTGAATTTTGAGGCTATTGATTATTGGTTCTATTCTTTTTTTGGACAGAATAAGACTCTCTGTCTTTTGAGGATTAATATTGATTTTATTTTCTTTTAGATAGGGAACTATCGTTCTGTTGACATGAATGTCCAGCCTTCTTGTTGCGATCTCTGCCGATTGTGAAGATTTGTAAAAACAAGTGTCGTCAGCGTACAAGGCCGTTTGTATACCATCGTGTCCCATGGGTAAATCATGGGTCATGATAGTGTACAAGTGCGGCGCAAGTACTGAACCTTGAGGTACACCCGCACGCACAGTGTAGGGGCCCTGTCTCGAATTGTTAATTTTGACGTAAAACTGTCTGTTCTGTAAGTACGTTTGTATTGTTTTGACAATAAAAACGGGGTAATCGTTCATAAACATTTTGTGGATAAGCCCATCGGTCCAGACCGTATCAAAGGCCTTCGCTGCATCTAGAGCTACAAGCACCGTCTGCTTATTTGAATTGAACCCTTTATACGCGTGATTCGCGATTCTGATTATCTGGGCTATAGTGCTATGCCCGGCCTTAAATCCGTACTGTTCCGACGGGATTATTGTTTTGTCTTGTTCATAGTCATGGAGTCTCGTCAATATTACCCTGTCAGCAATTTTGGCTAAGCCATTGAGTAGAGAAATTGGGCGGTAGCTTGCGATTTCATTTCTGTTTTTACCCACTTTAAAAACAGGGACTATATTAGCAACTTTTAATATTTGAGGGTAACTTTGTAATTTGAGTATAGCATTAATTAGATGGTGAAGATGTACTATAGATTTCTTCGATAAATTTTTGATAAGCATATTATGAATGTCATCGGGTCCTGGAGCCCTTTTACTACGTGTTCTCTTAATTATGTTAGAGATTTCTTTAGGAGTTGATAATGAATGTGGAGGTACTATCTCCCTATTTAGATTCCTGATTTCATTAACTATTTGCTCAATTTCATGTTGATTTTGATTATTTATTTGCGGGTTGGTAAAATTCCCCTGAAAGAATTCGCCGAATGCTTGTCCTTTTTGATCGTCAGTAGCGTAAGTATTGTCTTCGTGCCTCAATATGGGAAGCTGTTCAAAGGGTTTTCTAAATCTTTTAACAACTTTCCACATTGAGTTGTCTTGCGTGTTAACTGCTTCCAGGGATTTTCTCCATTCGTCATTTCTAAATAGGGTGATTCTATAATTTATATGTTTGGATAGGTCTAATAGCATTTCCCTGTCAGCAGCTACTCTGTATGTTTGCCAGCGTTTACGTATGTAATTTTTGTTGTTTATTAAGTCCAGAATGTCCTGAGGAAGGTTGTCCTTGTGAGGTTTCCGTGTTTTGCGTTTAGTCGAGTTATTCCTTGCATTGATAATGTCGTTTGTAAGTTTCGTAAATTCTTCCTCAAGAGCAGTTACGTCTGTTACGTTATTGTTGATTCTAATGTTTTCGTCAAGTATTTTCCTGTATTTCTTCCAGTCCGTTGTGTTATAGTCGTAATAATGGCCCTGTATCCTAGGAATCAGACGTGTAGTCTTAATCTCCAAGTATACAGGGTCATGATCCGAGCTTAATGTCTTGATAGTCGTAGTATTTGTTATGTTTGGTATGTTTTTTGCAAGTGCTAAGTCAATTGTACTGGGAAGGTTGTTCGGAGCAAAGGAATAAAAGGTGAGATCTTCAGGGTAGTGTATTATGTAGTCGTTGTCGTCAGCGAATCCATTCAGGGCCGCACCATTTGAGTTCGGCCGTGTACAATTAGCATCCCAGTGCGGATGTCTCGCGTTTAGGTCACCAAATAAAAGGACTCTATTTCCCGATGACATAATTAGGCTGAGTTGTGCTCTAGAAAAAGTATTTCTCGGATGTTGATAGAGCCCTACAAATGTAATATTCCCGATTTTAAAAATAATGTGTTGTTGAGGTATATTAAGATTTTTAAGTTGAGAATACTGTAATTCTCTTTTTATGAGACAAGCTACCCCTCCATATGGCTGTCCATCAGGTCTGTCGTGTCTTATGACATCGTACTCTTGTATTTTGAATTTGTCTGTCGATGTATAGTGAGTTTCCGTAAGAAGCACGATGTCGAATTTATGTTTATGAACGAAACTGCGAACAAGTGCTGTTTTGTTGCGCATCCCATTTGTATTGTAAAAACAAGTTTTGATTTTATGGTTGTCCCGCGAAAGAAGTTCAGTTACGTAGATTGAAGTTAGTGTCAATGTTACTCATGAAAGAATTATATGTTTCAAATATCTCTTGGCCTGAGAGGCAGTTCCTAAGTTCGGCGTTAAGCGCCCTAATTGCTCTAGTTAATTCACCTAAGTTGACTAACCTGTTTAACTCTGATAACTCTTTGTTTAGTTCTGTGATGTCATTCATGGATCCGCCAGAGGTCATTTGAATGGGTCTATTCACCGGGTTATTCACACTTGTTGTGTTCCGGTTTCTTATTGGTAGTGCCGGGAAATCATCTTGCCTCTGTGTATTTGTACTATTCTTGCGTCTGGCCTCCCATTGGTTGTAAGCTGGCAAGGGGGCGGGTACCATTTTTGGTTGTGCTTTCGGCCGTCTCTCATTCAGTCTATCTAATTTATCCGTATAGGTCTTACATTTTGAGTAGTTTGCGGGGTGATCACCCCCGCAATTCGCGCATGTTGCCGGTGTCTCTCTGGTTTTTGAGCATGTTCGGGTGTGATGATCACCCGCGCATTTCAAACATTTTGATTGCCTGCCACAATTGGATGTTGCGTGCCCCCATTGCTGGCAGTTATGGCACTGGATTATCTGTTTCGCCGATTTACGTAGCTCCCAAGTCACTCGTGTGTGTAATACTATGCGGGTATTTTTGTTTAGATAATCCAGGGTTATAGCAGGGTCTGTAACCACCAGAAATAGGGGACGCTCTTTCGTCTTCATTTGATAGACTGCTCTGGCTTTAATTTCGTGTTGTTCCTCTAGTTCCTCTTCTATGTCCTGTATTTTTGTTCCATTGGCAAGGCCTCTTAGGACAAAAGCATGTGATTTATCATCTCTTGAGGTGTATGTATGATGAGGCATTTTTTCAAGTTTTATATTCGCTAATACTCTCTCGTGGTCTTCCTTGTTGTCAATAAATATGATAGTTGTATAATTTGTGTTCTTAATACTGAAATCACCTTTGACAAGCTCTTTTAAATCGTGGATGAGCTCTTTGTAGTCTGCCGTTTTCCCATCGATGACTATCGGAGGCATACTGTTTTTGTTTTTGTAATTTTTAGTGTTTTCTTTGGCAGCGTTCGTTTCAGGTTTTCTCTTTGTATTACCCTCCGGCAAGTCTACCTTTTCCGTTACTTTTGTTGGAGTTTGTGTTTGTAGGTCCTCAGGAAGTAGTGGCCTGTACTTAGCACCCTTTTTTCTCTTTTTGACGATCTTGCCAATAAGATCGTCGTTGTCAGAGTCCGATTCGTCGGTCAGGACTTGATATGCGTTGTTGGTGGGAGTAAGAGTTTTCTTTGACTTTTCCCTGACCAATTTTTGAAAGTTGGATGAGAACTTTCTGGGTTTTATAAATGGTTCATTGTCAGTGTTATCATCCGCTGCTTTCAGCAGCTCAGCTTCATATTGTTGTCTCTCCTGAGCGTTTCTTAGCTCGAATCTACTGTTTGGGGAGAATGGGAGCTGTTCTGACTTTTTATTGATTTTATTCCCTAGTTCTTCTTCGGACGTATGCGAGGTGTAGCCCATGATGTTGCTAGCAACCCCTTGTGGAATTTCGTTGACCGTATTTTTGATCCTACGTCTAGGATCTTTGGGTATTGCACCTGTCGATAGTTTGGGTATTGCACCAGTCGGCAGTGCAAAAGATTGTCCGGTTTGTAGGCTACTCAGTTCACCTCTTCCGCGAACAAGTTCCACACTACCCACTGATGGGTTGGGTTGGGGTTGTGGTTGTTCCTGGGATTGGAAATTAAGTTGTCTAGCAACCACATTTTGGGGTAAGGAGAGGGTTTTGAAAATATTAGGTAGGGGAGGCGCCGTGGGGATGATTGTGTTCGTCTCATATTCAGAAGTGAATGTATCTTCCTGGGTAGTGCGTTCAGGGCTGTTATTTCCGATAACAGTCACCTCCATTTCACTGTTAATGGAGTCGTCAGAGTTCTCAAGGGTGTTTATAAGTTTTTCGATGGTATCACATCCCTTATTTTTATCGATTTCATCGGTATTGCTCTCCTGACTGTCCTGACTGTCAAGATACTCCATACTACTGTCTGAGCTGGCAGTAGATGGCTTTCTTGGGGTAGATTCCCTGTTTATTGTGGAGTTCTGACTTCCTTCAAGTGTTTGGGGGTCATTTGAAGGTTGAACTTCAGAATTTTTGGCCAGGGGGGCCCCCTGTTCCGGGCAGCTGACCCCTGGGTTAGGTAAGGTTAGTGGAGCTTGTGCAGTACTCACAGTTGATTGTAATTGGTTTTTTAATTTGGTTTTCCCACTTTGTGGGGTTCTGAAGGCTGCTACTTTCCTTATGGCTTCTGGGTTGCACCGGCTTTTCAGTCGTTTAGAATATAAGGTTTGAAAGCCTCTTACAGGCGTTGTGGTTGCCCTTACGGGCTCTGACATGAACCGCTACCCTAAATCTGGGACTACTACTTACTCTGGCGAAGGAATTGACTTAGAAAAAGAGAAAATTTTTATTATTGACAGCTGTCACAATGTTCACAACAACAATCGACGTGGGTTTGCTTGCATGCGACTCCTAGAACAGTTCTAGGTAAACTGATCCGCTTCAAGACTTTAGACATAAAATGATGAAAACTAAATATAGAGGGCGTAATAAAAAGATGAACAGTAAATTTAACCAAAATTTTTGAGGTTGAAAATAAATAGGTTTAAGCCATATTGCTTATATTAAAAAATGGCTAGTAAACAAGTTAAGTAAAGTTGAAATTTTAGATGTATATAATATTGTTCTCGTACTCTAAAACGGCTTAATATATTTGTTAGCGGTGTTCCTCTGTTTCCCACCACACATTCTTACACATGCGTGTCAGAATGGACGAGCGGGAGAAGGCAGACCAGCGCAGTGGGCAGTACGCTAATAGACAGTGGCAATACCACAGCAACATTGTAATTGAGAATACTTGATCGTGAAATAAACCATTGAAAAAGTAGTTTAGATATTTTTATTAGGGATGATACTTCCCTTATGTTTATATATTTTTATAAAAATGTACATGGTATGTTATTATACACTGACCAAAAAAATGGGGTTAGTAACGTTTAAAATTGTTTTAGTTATATAAAATTTTAAAAGGATTCCGAAACCCTTTGGCTCCCCTATTTTTTTACAATAAAATTTACTTAAAAATAGGACGCCACTCGAATGCTACATTTGTATCAAAATTTTTCTGCTACTTAGTATTTGTTTGTGAAAGCCCTAATCACTGAGTCATGGGCCCCAGAAGGAAGGTCATAATGAAAAATACAATGAGATTTTTCTCTTAATCTTAACTTAAACCACTGAATATTTGTTCACTTTTTTTTACTATTTTACAACTTTATTTAAAAATGTTTCCTTGTATTATCGATCACAATGAAGTTGTTAAATAGTAAAAAGATCGTGAACAAATATTCAATGGTTTATATTGATATCAATATAAAAATTTCATTGTATTTTTTACTATGATTTTTATTCTCAGTAATTAAGGCTTTCACAAACAATTACTAGGAGATAGAAAAATAAAAAAAAAAAATGTTGCATTTCAGCGGTGTCCTGTTATTAAGTAAAATGCCTGTGTCTAAAAAAGGGGGTTTAGAACCCTTCTAAAAACAATTTTAAACGCTAACTCCATTTTATTGGTCACTATATACTAACATCCCACATACATTTTCATAAAATTTTATTTTTAGAGTACGAGCACAAAATCACATCCAAACTTTAAGACCCTGTAACTTTTTAACTATCTATTTTTTATGTAGCCAAGTTAGCTTAAATCGGCATATTTTTGGCCCAGAAACTGGTTAAATTTACTGTACATCTTTTTGATATAATAATAATAATAATAATAATAATAATTATTTTCATTGCTTACAAGAAATTAAAAAGTGAAGAGCCATATTTCACGTATCCTCTTGGTTGTCAAAAATGATTGGTCTGCATGTTCCTTCACTAGGAGATGGTCCAGGTTGTTGACATGAAAGTCCTGGTTCACAGGTTCCACTGAAGCCCAAGTCCCCGCCACATGGCTCGCCTTCAGTTTTTGCGCATTCTTGACAGCATCTGAAACAAAACAAAAAAATGTTTAGCTAATGAAAAGTTTTTCGAATCAAATTAAATTTGGTTCTCGCAAATTACATTCTCTGGGCTTTTTTTTATTATAGACTGATTGAATAATTATATAAAATTGAATTTTCCTCACTGGCATTCAAAGTTAATAATTTATCACCCTTATTATATTAAAGTTTAAAATAACTAGATAATATTTAGCATAATCTCTGATTTTTAAATTAGATTAAAAAGTGACAAATTTAAAAATTCAATGTGTCATTTTGATTAATTTAAATACACTTTTGCTGTTGAATAAATATTTTTATAACCCCTAGATTGATAAATTGGTTTACATCCGGCTCGAAGGACCATGAGGAATGGGTTTGTGCTCTTTGCGTACATATATTTAATTTGGATGTTATTTTATCTTCGTTGGGCCATATAGTGTTTGTTTGAAGTTTGAACTACTTACTGCCTTATTTTATTAAACTACTTAAGAATGCTTATGTATTTTATTATGTATAAAAATATCTTAATATAGTCTTATAAATTACTGGTTATACAACTAATACACAATGTAGTCATGATTTTCAGGGTAGATTAAAGGATAAAGCTCGGGTCGAGGCTTTGGCCACGCTACACAAATATCAAATAAAATATTTAAATTTTCTTTTTTAATGTACATTCGTAAAAGTATTGGTTGGTAACTTCTCACTTGGTGTCAACGTTTAATCAAGATCGCCAATTGCACAAACTATAATTACCTACTTTTAAGAGAAGATATTAGTAAAACAATCAGTGGGAAACTTGTCACCTGGAGTCAACCTTGAGTTGAGTTCGCCAATTGTACCAAACATCTTCACCCACTTGGTGGATACCTCAAAGGCAAGACAAAGACAAGGAATTACGAGATGAAGACTCTGTCTATAGGTAAAATGACAGAGGGTTCATATGTAAAACTTTAGTGAAAGTTTGTAGAAATGGTCTAATAAAATGGTACTTGACATCAATATGCTATGTACGTATATGAAATTCCGAATTTTTTATCAAACGAAGTGCACTCTGATTATCTACAAAGAGTTTAGTTGATTGATACATTTCTCCAAAAATCTCTGTAAGAAATCTTCGAAGCCAAACAATTTCGGCTGTTGCTTCAGTCGCAGAGACATACTTAGATTTAGTTCTAGATTTAGCAACACATTTTTGTTTTTGTGAAGTCCACGTTACAGGATTCCCTTCAAGAGTCGAGATATATCCTGTAGTTGAGACTCTAGTATCTATATCTCCTGCGAAGTCTTCATCAGAATATACATTAAGTTTAATAGATTCTATACTCCCGCTGCTAATATACACTATACCGTGTAGTTTATAGTACCTTGTAAATATTTAAAGATACGCTTGACAGCTTCCTAGTACAACTTTCCTTGATTTTGAAGAAACCATGTATGGACGAGAGACTACTGCAAGGTACATAAGGCAGCCAACAGCTTCCCTGTAAGGAGTTTAACTCATCTGGAATTGTTCTTCAGTTGTTGTTGGACACTATTTCTCCAAATGAAGATGTATTGATGCATCTGATGGGGTTGTAGAAGGTTTACACTCTTTCGTATTAAATTTTAGTTTTAGTTTAGTGTAGCCTTCTTAACTGATGAATATATCCATATTTTCTAGCCTTTTTAACTCAATTCCAACAAAGTAATCACAGGGATCTAGGGTAATTTCAAACTCAACTTACGTGTTCTAATATTTTGTCTAGTAGTAATGGCAACCCACCGAGTAAAAGACCATCGTCAACATAAAGCGCTAAAAATATCTGTTGGTCTTCAAATTTTGTATAGAAGACACATCTGTCTGATTCAAGTTGTTTGAAGTTAAAAGAAGTCACGAACTTGGTAAATTTGGAATTTGTTCCATGTATATCTCTTCCAAAAGATCGCGATATAAAAATACGGTTTTAACATCAAACTGTGGAAGTTTTAAATTATTGTGTGCAGCTATAACTAGAAGCATTCTAATAGATTCATATCTTACCACGAGAGAAAAGGTCTCTAAATAGTCCACGCCGGGTAATTGTGAGTATCCTCTGGCACATCTGGTTTGCATTTCACCTTGAAGACCCATTTGCAGCTTACAATCTTACGATCTGGAGGTAAATATACTAGAGATTGGGTGCCATTTTGTCTAAGCAAACTTATCTCCTCTTCTATAGCTTCTTGCCAAATGTGACCTGGCCTCTAGTTAATGCTTCTTGGTATGTTTGTGGTTCATTAATAGCAACAAAGGCAACATCCGCTTGATAGCCATTACGAGGTTAAAGAAGAGAACGATCTCGAAATTCACGAGCTGGTAAAGACTTTATCGATGTCTCACCCTTAGGACTAAGTGAACAGCTGGGGGATTGTACAATATTTCACCCAAATTTTCTTCTGAATTTACTTGCAAATTATGATGTTGAATTTCGTATGATGAATAAAAAGTAGTTGCTTGTTTTGTTTTTGTCTAATTTCGTTAAAAACAACGTGATTTTTATTGGTCAGTCTTCGATTTAATATATAGGTTGCGGTATTTACTGCTTCACCCCAAAGCAACTTAGGTAAATTAGTGGAATTCAGCAGCGTTCTAGCACAATCAACAATTGACTGAATGTTCCTTTCACTTTTACCATTTTGTTCTGGAGTGTAGGGTGCACTAACTTCATGAATAATACCTCCTTTCTTAAACAGATCTTTAAATTATAAAGTCGGTACCATTGTCTGTTCTGAAGACTTTAATCTTATTACCAGTTTGATTTTCAACTAGATTTTTAAACTCCAGTAATTTTGAAAATACATCTGTTTTATGTTTGATGAAGAAAACGAAATTACATGATGTGCACTCGTCCTTGAACAAGATAAAATAGTTACTACCACCAAGTGATGGAACTGACATTTTCCCACACACATCTGAATGGATGTATTCTCCAGGTTTGAATAGTTGAGGGTGAACACTTCCTGTGAATGCCTTTCGTTTCTGCTTGCCAAGCTGACAGGAATCACAGAAAAAGTTTCTGGAGGAAATAAGATATAGATTTAGAATATGCCCTGCATCGACAATATTTTTGAGTGAGTGAAAATTAATGTGGCCTATTCGTTCATGCCATAAATAATATAGACAATCATAGGTAGCTAAATTTATTTGTTGAGTAGGAGACTTAAAATTCATTTGAAAACATTGATATTATTTATATATAATTCTTTGATAAAGATTAGATTTAATTCATAAGTAAGTCCTCGATAAAAGTAAATATAACATTAGACTAGACAAGTATTGACCTTGATCGATAAATATAAAATTGGCTGTTTCAACAATAATGTCATTCTTTGTCGGAGTCTTAGCTGGACTGACTCTTGGTTTGAGTCTCATCAGCGTCTCGCATCCCAGTAAAAGTAGTGACGTGACGTGCCCTCGTCGCCTATAGATGTTTAGCCCTTGGAATAATTGTTATTCTGCTCTTTTATTTTCCCAAGTCAGGTAGCACATAGAATCACTATTTAAAGTGGCTCCATCACGACCAAAATGCCCGTGACAATATTTATGGATTATCATGTAATTTTTTTATTTTTTATACTAAAATTAATATAATCATGGAAATTGTTTTGTTAACATTTTAATGCATCCTTACTTTAAGCGTTGGTTATTGAAAAATTAACAAAAAACATACAATACTAACTAATAAACATTGTTTATAATATTTTAATACATGAATCCTTGGAAAATATAAGCGACGTAGTAGATTTGTTTTGATCTATAAATTTTATTCGTGAAATTTTACTATGATTTTTATCTATAAATTTCATGTATAAATTTCATCTATAAATTTCATCTATAAATTTCATCTGTAAATTTTATATATGAATTGTATCTATGTATTTTATATATGAGATTTATCTATGAATTATATCTATGAATTTAACTATGAATTTTATCTATGAGTTTTATCTATGAATTTTATCTATAAATTTTATCTATGAATTTTATCTATGAATTTTATCTATGAATTTTATCTATGAATTTTATCTATGAATTTTATCTATGACTTTTATCTATAAATTTTATCCATAAACTTTATTAATGAATTGTATCTATAAATTTTATATTTTAATTTTAATTTCTTTAAGTTTATTGTTACTGATTTTCTTCACTCTTTACCATCCTGTCAATTTTGTTTAACCTTTGATTCATCCTGTTTCTTCTTTCATTCTTATTATAATAAACTGCGTAATACTTTTAATGTGCCAAGCCAAAGGCAAGAATCTCAGTTAGCTTAGGTTAACATGCCACAGTGTTCCAAGCAAAAGTAGTAGCAATACATTACTATGCAAAAGAGCTATTAAAACAAAGTAAATGGACTGTTTGGTGGCCCTAACAAAGCTGAGTAGACAACAGACCTTAACTTGGCAGCAAACCACAGAGAAAAAGGCTTGTTTCGGACCATAATATTTTTGTGATGTAACAAAGACTGTCATCAGAACATGCACAAAGCAGTGGATGTCAAACAAATTTTAGGAATGGTTAAACAATTCATCAGACAGAGAAAAGCCAGAGAGGTAATAAAAGGAACATTACCAAAACCCACCAAATATCTACTAAGCCAGAATAGAAACACTAGAGTACTAGTAGGCCTATTAAACATGTTAATTTAGGCTTAACAGATATATGCATTGCATAATATGAGCCTGCCAGAAAAAATCTTGTGTCGAATAGGAGGAAACTGTAGCTGTACAAGTATTGTGCTACTGAGAAGGTCTATCATGACTGAGATTCCTTACACTTGGAGAAGAAAAGTCAAAAACAATTAGCTACATCGGAGAATTACTTCCTAGTATATGGAGTCTACTAAAAAAAAAAACTTGACAAAATACTGCAACTAATGATCTAAGAATATCCACAATGAACCCGAAAAGATCGACATGGTCCACAGTCCCAACCAAATATAATTTGAAACTAATAATAATTTATTTTTATTTTTTATT